ACGACGTTGTAAAACAAGCCAATTCACTTCGTGAACTCGGCAACCAGGATACCGTTCTTGTCTTTTTTGCCTCTGCTTTTCTTTTGGCAGTAACCATGAATGGTGGTCGAGTAGATGATGTTGTGCGGGGTGGAGAACCCTCACTCCGCGCAAGGGGGATGATCGCACCACGTTGTGTTTCGATGGTCGAGCACCCTCGAGGCAGTTACACAGTGCTTACAACTGTCTCTGGAAGTGAAAGCACCAGAAAATAAATTAAGTCATACGCAGCTGTCATCCGTACGCAAGGAAGTAAGCACAAGATGCCGAACACCCTTAGCAGGATGCAGCACACCTTTCATGCGACTCGCCGAATATCTCACGGCGCTTCGCGCTTGGTGATGTGAGAGCCTGGTCCGGTGAGAACCCGGCGTGCTCCGTCCCGGCTTTGTAGGGATGCGAGGTCAATGGTGTAACGACCACGGCATGCACGACTATGAGTCCCCCCCCCCCTCCCCTCTCTGGCTGATGATGAATACCAGCCCCTCAAGCTCACGGTAAATATCACCCTCTCTCTCTAGATGACGGTAAATACCATCGCCCACTCTGGCTGACAGTAAGTACCAGCCCTCTTTGTAAATTACACTGGCGCTCCAACAACTCAACGCCGTCACTGCTGCTGTGTGGAAAATAAGATGATGAGCCAGTGGTAACAAACGTGACAACGCACAAGCCTACTGTAGGTACTTTTCTTCGAAAATTAACAAAGCACTATTCCCATTCCCGGTTCCGTATCGCGAGAAGGGTCCAGCCGTGCCTTATCCTCGTCAACGGTGCTAACGTCGAATGTTGGTGCTCACGAGAGCATTTGAGCTATAGTACGCTTTGACCCGAAATTTTCATGTTTTTTGTGATTTTTTGCTGAAAAATGTACCGGCTGCAGGCTAGTCATGCGCCCATCCGTTTTGGAGCTCTGGGGGGTGACGGTGATTAAAACAGGGGGAACAACATATTCGCCTGATTGAGAGCGAAGTATCTGATTGAGAGCGAGAGCCAAAAAAATTGAAATTTCGGGTCCAGACGCCTCTTGCCATTTCTTGGCAAGTAGGGGACGGGCTATTCCAAGAAGCGGTGCAAATTGAAGGTCTCATCAGCAGCTTCGCGAGCATATGCGTGTCATCGTCATCGGATGCTGCAGCGAGGAGCTAGACAAGTTGCTAGATTTGCCCAGATTGGCTATTTCTGCTCAAACTGTTTCAGGGCGGTATCGCGTCGGGCGGTGGGCTCTGCTGTAGCTTCTGCTCCCCGCTGTAGCTCCACAACGAGAGACTCCCACAGGATGACCAGGGTAGCGGCTTGAAGCTACGGGCTAGCCCTTCAATTCAAGCTACACAGCAAGCTCCACCTCTCAGTGGTAGTCCGGCTACAGCGTATCGCGCAATCTCGCTCTCAATCAGATGCTACGCTCTCAATCAGGCGAACATGTTGTTGGGGGTGATCTTCAGCTCGAAAGTATAAAAACTCGCCTTCTGCTCCTCTGAACTCGTTCGTTTGCTTTGAGGCAACTCAAGAGCTCGTTACGGGTGACGAGACTAGCAGGGAACGCACAGGTCGAAAACTAGATACCCTCGCACCAAGTAGAGAGAGGTGTACAGCATTGCATGCATCGTCGATGGCGGTGTCGACGGTAGCGATGCCACTCTCCAAGGTCGCCGACGAGCGAGATGAAAAAAACGCTGTGCAACAACGCAGCAACCGGTGAACCGAGAACCAACCAGTAAATGTTCACCTCTCCTCTCGCTTCCTCCGCCGAGATCTAAATAGCAGCAGTAGTACAGGGCACACCCTGTTTACACTCCCTCTCCTTAAGTTCGGCACAGATGCTGTGCTATCTCGAGGCACTGACCCCGGATCAAGTCGGTAGTAGTTGAGATAGCTCGAGCAAAATGCTACTCGTTGGGCAGAAGCGTCGGCTTGCGATTTGGTGCCCACATGGCGAAATGGGCTCCAGCCTGCTGGGTTTTGATCGACCTCATCACAGACAGACTGTCAGGCGGACGTGCGTAGCCATTTCTTCACGCCCCTGGTGTGACATTTTCTTGTTCTTTGCAAAACAAAAAGCCCCCCTACAGACCGCCCTAAACAACAAACATTATTGTACCGTTCGGGACTTCGTTCAGTACCTTCGAATAACCGTACTGGTCCAACTGACGCGGACGCCTTCCGTGGTCAAAATAGTACTGTTGCTAGTCTACACAAAGGAGGGTACACCTTTTTAGAAAACGAAAACATGCGTGGTTGATTCATTTCAGCGATACCGACAATGAAGAACAGCAAATCTTTGGCCTGCACATTAGTTGTTGTTAATGGTGTGACGTCTACATATACTCGAGAATGCGTGACAAGTTGCGTGTGTTTTAGCATGGAAGCACTCAGCGTCGATTTGTTTTTGGGAAATGGACCATAGTGGGTACACGCACCCCCTCCTCGGACAATAGCGGGTACTCTACCCAAAACTAGCTTCCTTTAGACCACTCGTGAGCAGGCCGAACCACTCAACCTCTTATTCAGGTGCCTGGACGACATGGTCAGTGCCCATTATCCGCACGAAGATCCACGTTTATCGCAGCAAGTTCTGGTCGTAGCGAGCTCATCTCCGAGCACCACTGTTAGGGGGGTCAAAGCGGAACATTTCCTATAAGGAAATAATTTGAGAAAACGTCCCCGGATCTTGCTGATGGAAAATCGACCAACAAATCAAATTGCACGGAACCGTCGGAATCTCCCGAAAAGACCCTCTGACGCACACGATCGAGGGCGCCGCTCGTGTGTGTCCTCTGATTATTCAAGAAGTTCTCTCTTCCGCCTGGCGCTGTCCCGCCACCGCCGACTCCTTCTCTC